AACCTCTGAAAATGATTTTAAATTACTTATGCATACATGTTATTCATTCATAAATATATATACAGTATACACGATGCCCTGTATGGGCAACAATGTATGTTATGGGCAATATATACTATATTGTTAGCTATTTAGTGAAGATTTGTAGTCAACTGGGTGCATCTGACTGAAGAACCTGGTTCTGAAAGAAGTAAAAAACGAACTGTAAGCTGCAGAATATAATAGACTTTTGTGATCAGTTGTTCAAAGTTAAGTTTTTCTTTTGCTTTTTTATATTGTTCCTTGATTTTGGTAAATGGATAAAAAGGAAATTTTAAAAAATCTCAAGAAACTTCAGAGTCAGTTTCTTAGTTTGGACTTCCAGGCAACCACAGCACCTGAAAAAAAATGTGTCCTGATCCTAGAAAACATCCACCTTAAATCAGGTTTATGACACTTAATGCACCATTATTATGTGCTTATCAAATTGGAAATGACTTATAGTGACCCTAATAGGTCTTTCAAGGTAAGTGAGATAGTTAAGGATTGGTTTTACCAGTTCCACACCTCCAGTGAGTTTCCATTGTTGATTGGGGATTTGAACCCAGGCCACATTCTCCATTATATCACACTGGGTATTGAGATGCACCATTAACCAGGGTCCATTATTAATTAACTTGCACTTTTTTCTCTTTTGCCAAACCAAATTTGTCTGACATGGATTGTAATAAAGCCACATGGATGCTGGCAAAAGTGTGATGCATGCTACTGTTTATATGTACACTACTTCACATGTCAAACAAGTTGTGCTACAATACTTTTTTATGTAACTAATGTTGAGAGACATTTAAGATTAATGTTGAGAGACATTTAAGATTTGTTAAGAGTATGGAGAATACTGAAAAACTGAATTGCTGTACCATAGATAAGAAAGGGTAAATCTAATTTATTTCTGTCATACGTATTAAAGGAAGAAGTTTGCCTACTGTCATCACAATGTTCATGTCCTTGACTGCTACCATAAATATTACAATTATATTAAACCCTGGAGAACTAAAATATAACCTAGATAATATAATTTATGCTGAAAGTATAAACTAACAAATAAATGATTTTGTCTCTTTCAATTTACTCAGTGCTCTGAAATCCAGATCAGCCTGTTTATTTTCTCTTTTATAAGACAATGTGTTTTAGAAAGACACAGGAAAAATAATGGCCATAGTCTCTTTCAGTACATAATATTGGAACTCTGCTATTAGTACAAAAGTACCATTTCATATTAAAATTTTATTTAAAAAGAACATCTAATATGAAAATATGATTTTCAGCAGTATATCTTAGCTTATGGTGCTTAGGTTTTACATTTCATTCAACTGTTAAAACAACTGTTTTCTCCACTGGTCAGCCTTGCTTTTATAGGACCTTTGATATATGGAAATCTTACATGGGAGTGGAATACGGAAACATGTAAATATAGTAAGATCCACTCAAACATGCAACTTGATACAAAGAGATAAGACAACACACAACAGGAGAAATAATTATTGTGATATGTAGAAGTCATGTACAAAACAAGCCAAACCAAAAATGACCAACTCGTCCTGCATACTAAACAGACAGATTCTGCTCCAGATAAATACTAAGCCTGTAATCCTAGGCACCAAGTGTGACAAATATTTGGTTTTATGACACTGCTAGGCTATAACTCCTATCAGCCCTAGCTGAGGAATTTAGGGACATGTGCCTGGAAATATGCCATCTAGAAGTGAAGACTTACTTCTCATTTGGCATGTACAGAATTGCACTGTATCTCAGTACAAACTTCATAGCTTATTCTTCAGAATATTAGGTAAGAAATAGCAACAGTGGTTGGAAACCTGTTGTTCTTGTGAACACTCCTCTCAGAGAACATGCATCTCTTTAAGACCAAATGGGCATATTGAAAACAAGCTGTGAGATGTAGTTTCAAAACTAAAATGCAGCTACAGTATTTAAAGCCATGTTAGACAGCAAATGTAGACATGGCAAATTAAAACTTTGGGGCAGAAGCAAATATTATTCAGAGATTCCCCACCATCTATTTAATCTCACATTTGCAGAAATAATGCCTGAATACCTTTCTTCCATGTAATCTGGCTCTTCTATAAGCTTGGGTGTGCTTTGTGGTCTTTTGAGTTTTTTGGCAATCCCTTCGGTCTTCCCTGCTCTAAGTAGTGCTTCACAAACTGCCTGGTTTCTATGAAGTTTGCTTCCCTACAGTGTGTTGCTGAGCTGTACATTTCTACAAGATTGCTCTCCTAGGTATATATCCTGAGCCACACTTTTCTATAGGATTACCACCCTGGATTTGAGATTCTGACATACAATGCCTTTATAGTGTCCTTTTACCAGCTTCAGTGTAATATTACCTTCATCTTGTGCAGATGCATCATCCTTCTGCTCAAGTATTTACAGTACTTGAAGCATAGTCACTGGGACTCAAACATTTAATCAGCTGCTGCTGATTATCTAGTTCAATAAATTTACAAACAACATTTTCAAGAAAAATCTGTATAGCAATTCATGATCTTCTGCATACCAAAACTTTTCAGCCTATGTGGCATTCTGCAATAACATTCTACTTTCCTTAACAGTGAATGAGCGATGCCTTTTGTTTTGTTGTGATTTAGAAAACAAGATCCTTTCATATATATACTCCTCTTCTGTCATCCAACAGTACAACAATTAGTAGCTACTGTACTTCCACATTTTTTCCCTACAAGTTGAAAGTTAGCATTTGTTATTTTCTAGTGTTCTAATAAAGAAATGGAAACTCACTGGAGGAGTGGAACTCATAAAACCACTCCTTAAATTTTACCTCACTTACCTTGAAAGACTTTTAGTGTTGTTATAGGTTAGTTCCAACTTGATGGCATGGAACAAATAAAGATTTCACCTGCCTTTGCCTTTGAACGAAGTTTTGTAGCACTGCTTGTTTCACACTCAAGGGATGAATGGTCTGTGGCACAGGTGGCTGCCACTGTCTGCGCATGAATCTCCTCCTGACAAGAGGTGTCTACATAAAATTATGTCCTTCATGTTTCAGTTCCATGAGGCCTGGCAATGGTAGCTAGGATCAGCTGCAATCTCTGTCCCCAGAGTAATTCTAACCCTGGAGGAGCTCAGGCTCATTATCGTATGCTATGTTCAGTATTAAGGATCTCATGCAGTAGCAAAAGAACAGGCCTGCTTAATTAAATTGTTTCGACAGCTAAACAGAATAAGGATATGCTATAATTTAACATTTACAGCAAGGCTGTTCAAAGAGGATGTACTTACTGATACCTGCATCTAATATGTATGATAAAAATCAATCTAGAAATAATCAAATGCCATTCTAAATAATTAGAAATTAATGATGAAGTGGGATTATAACAAATCTTTAGCTCTTCTGTGCTAAGACTACCAAGGATAGAGCAAAAGAGTCCCAGCTGCTGTAGTCTCCTCTTTTGAATACCACTGAGAAGCAAAAGTAGCAAGAACACTCTGGCTTTATATTTAAGTGGTTTCCCAAAACATATATCACATATATCACAAGAATACAGCATTCCTCTCCCTGTCCCTAACTTACTGCCTTCCCATTTTGTGCATTTCTTTTCCTAGTAGTGTATTCTACCTTAACACCACCTTTTCCCTATCTTCTCTGTCAGTTGGGGATAACCATACTGGGTCAAAGGCAGAAAATATTGCTCTCACTGAATTGGCTTCGTGATGTCATGTAGCCCATCAGATTTGCTTGTAAAGCTCATTCTGAGAAATGGCAATACCAAAACAAAAAACAAAACAAAACAAAACAAAGCTCATTCTGAGAAATAGCAATAACAAAACAAAAAACAAACAAAAAAACCTGTCAGACTGTATTTTTTAAAGGTGTGTGAAAAATGTTACATCTTCCAGTTTATTCCTATCTTTCTCATCCCTCATATGCCAAGGAGAGGTTGCTACTGCAGCGCTTGTATTCTTGAGAAAATTGAATGAACACCAGCTGATAGTACACATACAAGATGGGTCATCATAGGGATTCTTCAGTCTCGAGAGACTATGGCCTCATATGCCAAGGAGAGGTTGCTACTGCAGCGCTTGTATTCTTGAGAAAATTGAATGGTACCCATACAAGATGGGTAATTCAATTGAAAAAAAATTAAAATGCGTTGGAAAGCATGTACTCATATTTCCAAGTATAAATTTCCTTCCAGTTTTCTAGTAGCAACTTGCTATCGGCCATCCACTTGTCCACAGGTAGGAGATGATTTAAAGCTAAGTCTGCTTCTTAGTTACCATCCAATAGTGCTTAAACCACTATCTGGGTAATTTGAAATTCTAATTGTACTGGCTACACATTGCCCCATCAGAAGGATGGAAGGTTGAGTCAACTTTGATCTGGCTACCTGAGTCGAGGATTAAACTTAGGTCATGAGCAGCATCTTCACTACAATACTGCAGTTTAATACCTAAGCCATGACGTTTAAGTAATTCCATAGTGAAACTCTGAATCTATATGGCAAGGGACGCCAGGCTGCTAAGCTCCCACCAGACCCAGCTAAAATCTGAAGAGATGTGGGAGAGAACAGCTCAGTTACTTGGCATAGTGTGGTGCAATAAAAGTGGGCACCAGTAAATTAGTGGAATTCTCAGCTTGAAGCCACAAAGTACCAGCTTGGAAATGGTCCCAAGGATCAGGCAAGAAACCTCCAAAATGTGTCAGCCCTATTGCGTGCAATAATTCGTTTGCTTGGGCCAAGTGAAAAGTTAATAGTTGACACATAGCTCTACAAACAAAGAAAGCAGTCACAATAAATAAATATATTTTAATTATTCGGTATTAATAGGTTCAGTTGCTTATTAGGAACTGCCTAAAGACATCCTTCAGAGTGTGTGATTAAAAATAAATTGCCAAATATCTTCCCACAGTTCTTGAACAGAGGTCATCCAGCTGATAGCAAAAGGCTAGGAAAGATGAATTCAGTAGTCCACATTTTGGCTGAGGTAAAACCATGTGCATTTATTTCATCCGCATTTTAGAATTAGTTAAGCATAAAATTAAATATGTCGACTGTAATAAATTCAGTCATATAAGTGCAAGTCTTCAACTATAATGAACTTATGGCAGATTTAAAAAATGTACCAGTAATCATAAGAGGGAGCATGTCCATTTGACCTTTATTGAAGTATACAGGAGGTTCTCTTTAGAAATCAAATACGAGAATGGAGATATGGCCAAACGTAAAATCTATCAAATTCAGTGAAAACTGTCTGACTTTAAATAGTAGCAGTAAGAATGACCAATATATATTCTTTGTTACAACCGCCCTCACTCTACAAGTAAAAAAAAATTATAATAAACATTCAGTAAACATTCTTTCCTAAGGTAGCTTCCCTTATATATCAGTGATTTATCCATTCTTGTATACATAACTTTTTGAACATACCAATCAGTGGTTCTCACAATTGGAAAATAAAAGCACAAAAAAGTTTACACTCTTGTACAGGTAAATAAAAGATCATCTTGAATTAAACTGTATAACCTGAAGGGCATAGTATAGTTTCAGTTTCATTACCTATTACATAATTAGCTTCTTAGATACAAATATTGACATATTTGGCTTGTGCTTCAAAGCCTTGTGTGTCTATCAAGTCCATGTCAATGCAGCTCATAATTTGAAGTCACTTGGGAGGTCTTTACTGCTGCTCGGTTTGACTTGCTCATGCAAGAGAGCATCCTCAGCACTTGTCATGGCACTGCATGTTTCAGCTGAATCATCGGCATCTGGGTCCAGGCCTTCAGGGCAAGGGAGTTTCTGGAGCTCTTCCCGCAACTGAGCTGTGTGACGCTGTGCACATACACATTCACAATGAGGAAAGGTTCTCTTTCATAGCAGTTTATGAAGTCAAAAAACGAGACATTGTTCAGATCAAATAAAACCAATTCCAATAAAAGCATAATGACTTTTGACTTAGTTGTAAAAGACGTGTGTCTATTGTTTGTAACTACAATTAAAGACTAGCAGGAGTTGCATCAAGATTTATTATTCAGGCTTCTATTAGAGATTATTTCCCACTGAACCTTTGTTCTATTTAGACATACTTAGGATGGCATTGTAGAACGTAATTCTATGCAGCGCTCTGTTGCTTACAGCAAATGTAAGAGCTAGATCTGGAAACCTCGGTTCATAGGAGCTGGGTGGGCTTGAAATGTTCAAAGCTACACAGCCCATGTTGCTAAGGCCTTAAAAAACTACACACAAAATGAAAATTTCCCAGTGATTAACACACCATAGTACGTAGATACAGTGGGACGGATGAAAGGACATGACAAACAGTAGAACTGTGTAGAGACTTTAATGATGTTTTGTGGGGGTTGGGGAGAGGCAGTTATTTTTAGACCAACTGCATATTGATTACTCATTCTGATGCGCTATACTTGTGTTGAGACCACAGAAGACAGAAATGGAGAAAAAAGAGATTCCCACAGACATGGGTGGGTTACTTAGCAAGTACTGCACCACCTGTAAGTGCTCTACAGCCTCCCAGGGAATGCTGGGCAGCCTTTTGTATTATGCAACTGATTAAAACAGCTTGGAGTCATTGAGCCTTCTATGTTACATCTTGCACGGGATGGTTTATGTGTGCAAGCATGTCACTGTATTTCATTATCACTGCAGTGAAAAGATACTGCAAAGCACTGTGTTTGAAATGATATAAGTAACTTGTGATTTGATCTCCAATAGCTCTACACTTGTAAACCATTACTTGATAGTGCAGGCATAAAAGCAATGGACATGGCACATGTGAGCAGCCCATTGCTCTGTCTATTTTAAGCTAACACTGCCACTGACTGTTCTATCCACATGATGGGGTTGCATAATGCTATATAGGAAAATATCTGCAATTGCTGAGTGTTATTTATTTATTTAAAATATGTTTGTATGGTCTGGGCTTGGTGAGTAGTCTTGACTGGAAGATGGATCTAAAATTTACCTCCTAACATATTTATGAGATAATCAGAATATGTAACTAGACCAAGAGTGGAATAATGTGTCCAGTCTCGGGTACCACAATTTAAGAAGGATATTAAGAAGTTGGAATGTGTCCAAGGGAGACTGCAAGGTTTGGGAGTGGTTGAGGGAGCTCGACATATTTAGTTTTGTGAAGAGAAGACTGAGAGGTCATGTGATAGTCATCTTCAAACATTGAAGGGCTGTCATGCAGAAGATGGAATGAGCTTGTTTTCTCCAACTCCATACAGTAAGGTCCAAAGTAATAGATTTAAATTAAAGAAGAATTTTGACTCAACATTAGGACAAACTTCCTAAAAGCAACAATTGTTTTGGCAATAGAGTGAACTGCCTCAAAGGGAGGTGAATTCTTCAATGTTGGTGGTAGTTAAACAGAGATTGGGGTGTTTTAGGTAAGGATTTCCTGATTTGGTAGGGGGCTGTACAAACCCAAGTCTTGTATGATTCTATGATTAACACTAACACTATTATAAAAATACCCTACCTAAAAAAACCTGCAAAATCACTCTTGGAAATTGACAGGTCTCAACATTCATCGTTACTGTAAATTAGAGTTTAGTACCACCCAATACCCATTTTTTGAAAACTGGAAGTGGACTTCTGACCATTGCCAGTTTTGTTCTTTTCATTTTATGAGGCCAGTGGGTGGGACTGGCCCCAAGGCCCACCAAAGTTGCTCCACTCATGAAATAGACTTACTACCAAGGTCACAACTCTGTGTTCTCCCTCCTAATTGTTCTGTAGTTTTCAGTAAGGCAAAGTATGAGACTGTGACATCACTGCATTGTGATGCATTCTTGCATCTGGTATTTGCTGCAGTTGGTAGGGAAACCTACAAAGGAATGACATCTAGCCAAATGCTTTGTATTATGGATCATCACTGGAAGGAAGGGAGATGGAAGAGGAAATGCAGTTACTGCTTTTATCAGCAGCCAGATACTGGCTATAACAACTAGTTCTACCCCGACATAGATGGACTTCTATTTCTCATAATACCTGAGCTCTAGAAAGCTATCAGTCACATGAAGTTCTACTGAAGACAGGCATGGGCTCTTAACTTAGCGAGTACTGCACCACCTATAAGTGCTCTACAGCCTCCCAGGGAATGCTGGGCAGTCTTTTGTACTATGCAACTGATTAAAACAACTTGAAGACATTGAGCCTGCTACGTTACATCTTGTTTGGAACGGTTTATGTGTGCAAGCATGTCACTGTATTTTTTCCATCACTGCAGTGAAATGATACTTAACTTTGGTCACACTAAAAGCAAAAAATCACATCCAGATAGCTTACCTTTAGAGCTGCAGCATGATGAGACATAGTCCTGCCTACCCGTTTATCGCTGCTGTACTGCTGTATATCTGCTATCCACTCCTCACACTGAGCCATGATCTCTATTCTCTTCAAGTAAAAGTGTTTATGTATAACCTGTAAGAACAAGGAGCAGACTGGGTGTGAACAATCAAAGTACTGCTTTTTAACTAGAAGACAAATTTAACTTACCAAAACTCTGCTAACAAATAGCCCACTGGATTATTTTACTACTGCATAAATGTCAGGTGTGGCCTCTGGCTTGATTCCAGGGCACAACTGCAGCCCACTGGTACTGTATCTGCAAGCTCAACTGAGATCAATAGAATTTACACCCATGTCAGTTTTAATAAGTGTGCAGCTTACAAATGCAATGTTTAGCTACTATTAATAGCCAAACACAAATCAGAAAAAAGTGAGACCTGTCCAGGACTCTCATGATCTACCATATTACATTTTTAAAGAGATCCAAGACTGTTCCTAGGAAACAGTAACAAACAGGGAGTATTCTGTCTCTTCTGATATCTGATCTGAGACTGTGACATGTTTCTCCAAAGACACAAAGTCTTTGTTGACAAAGCCTACTGCCTACAACCACTTCAAATAAAAATAGATATTTGTCACAAGAAAATAGTGTATCAACACAAGAATATCAAAGGAGTGAAAAAAATGATAATTAATTTCAGACTAAAACTACGGCATTTTAAAAAAGGAAGTCATGTATCTACCCAACACAGGAAAAAAAGAGAAAGAAAGAGTGTTTTTTTGGTTAAAAGCAAATGAACAAACCTTGACATTTGGTTATTTTTCTCTGCTCAGAGCAAAATTCCCTAATGAATATACCAATGCATTTTAAATATATTTTCCATGTTTCAAACTTATTCAACCATTTCCCCTATTATTAGAATGCACACACTATTAGCATGCTTATCTAACTCTTTTGACCCACATTTCTTTCTCTGTTGCTACAATAAAGTACCACTGATTTCATTGGGCAGAGTCTTGTGAAGAGTTTTCCTCACTGGTCTAAACAGTGATATATAACAAGTGAAGTGTCCCAAGTCAGGGAAGTTCTAAACCTATCAATATATAGAATCCAAACTCTTGAGTGAGAATGGCTGAAATCCTATTCATGCAGCTACACCTCAAGGATGATGATAGTAGCACTGTGATTTTTCCAAAATAGCCAAAGAGCCCACGGTGTCTGTGGAATCTGCTGCTGGGGACTGCTGTTCCTTCAGGAGAAAGTCTAATACATATCTGAAAAACACTGGAATCACGCAGCAGCAGATCAGAATTTAAAGACGTCTCCCATTCTGAAGGGCTGGCAGACTCCAATGGCTTCCCCACAACAAAATGTATTCCACAGCAGACTTGGGACCTTCAGTGGTGGTGGGGGAATGGTAATCAGAAAAGATTTGTTTTCAAAAAAATTGCTGAGGAACAGGATTTCAGCTAATATTTGAGTAATTAATTTTTCATGCAATTTTACCAGTATAGTAAATTGAATTACTTAATCCAACCAACAAAGCCTTTTAAAACTCTCATCTGAATAGCAGCATAAAGTGGACTCAGACTTTTGCATTTAATACACACAGAAACCCCGGTCGAATGAGAAAATGTTGATGAAGCCCATAACAAAAGGGAGCAGGCTTAGCTGGTCCCACCCCCACCTTATGAGTTTCTTTCAGCTTTTACTACTAGAGACCTTCTGGAAAGGAGACTCTCTATGCAATTCAGAACACTGATTTCCCCATGCTCTGAAGTGAAAACCTGAATGCGGAGAGGAGATTCTCCTTTTCAGGGGTCATTCTCTTGACAGGAACCAGCGACAGAGAAGGAACAACTAGCATATCTGTCTGCTTACCCAACACTTTCCTCAAAAGCCTGAACAGGACTAAATGTGGAAATCAAATAGACAAAGAAATATTCCTTTTTTAAACATACCATATGTAACTTACAAGAGAGATGCCTCTTGTTTCAGTTTGCCATATAGCAGTGCACATTTAACAGCTCAATTAAAATTACTTTCCCACTATATCATCACCATTAACAGAAGACTGCCACTGATTAAAGCATTCCTTTTGCAATTTTGGAGTGCATATAACTTGTACACAGTGTGACAAAGTTGAGTGCACCCCCAAATCACAAAAATAAACTTTTAGTGACAATATGCTGTTGCCAATGATGTCAATCCTGTTGTGCAGGCAGACCCACTCAGGAGGATTTTAGTCACAATTACATCGTGATTGGAAACACATGAAGCCAGAGTGTTTGTAATGGTGGGGCTTGAAAAAAAATTGAGGGGTGTTGTATTATCTGTTCCTGCCTAATGCACGCCTGCAAGGTCACTTCTGAAGTTGGCAGTAAGCTAAGAAAAAGAACTGACAGACAATACAGGGGATGTAAGAGCCAACTGTGTATTTCATTTGAGTGTCTTAAGTGCTGCACAGCTTTAAACAGAAGCTGGTAGTGCTTTGCCTTGTCCTTGCTGCATTTTGAAGAGTCAAAGGCATTTTCAGTGTAATGTTGAGCCTTTTCATTATTCTTATAAATCAATGATTCAGCTCACACTGCCAGCCCCTAAAATTACAAATGCCTTAGGCAATGTCACATAGAGCAAGCAAAGGGAAGGAGGAGGAAATCACAAGTGAGTGTCAATGAATAGGGCTTAATTACTTCTTCTGTCAAAACCATTACTGGCCACTTAACGGGCCCTCAGGTGCTGGAGTATTTCAATGCAATCGGTACCCAGTAGTCTAGAACATTGATTTTACTGGTTTCCCTCTCCCTCCTTTGATCACCACCATTGCTTGTCTCCTTGCTCCACCATCCTCTTGCCAAACCTACAGTTTCCCCTTCCTGCTGCCATGGGCACCATCACTGAACTGGAAACAACAAATAAAATCACTTGGACGAGGCCCCACCTTCATGGTAATCAAAAGGAGAGGCACATGAAAAACTCAAACATTTAAGAAACCATCCCCAGAAGAACAAAACTGAAATGAAAATGGATTAATAGTCATTCTTTTCTCATTTATATATAAAAAGATTCAAAAATACGTGACAAGAAATATGCCTAGTATTCTTTATTCACTTATTCATTTAAACTTTAAATATAAAAATGGCATAATAAGCAACGTATGAAACATATAAAAAGGTATGAAAAGACATCCCTTTAACACAGAATTTCCTGCTTCTGAAGGGACCTGAACTCAAAGGCCTTTGGGGTGTCTTCTAGTTCTACTATTCTATGAGTCTATGTGTATCATTGGTCCTTTTTTAAAAAGGATAATGTTCTAGGTATGTCCACATAACCATTACTACATCAATCAATCTCAGTCCAATTTCCTTGGCTGCCTGAAAGTTATTCAATTCCCTACATAAAAACCACCTTAGTTTCCGATCTGCATACCTCTATAATCAACTAGAGGCATGAAATTATTGAAGAAAATTTATGACAAATGTCAGAACTCTTGCCTGATAAGATTATTAGCTAATTTAAAGCAGTATCAAATATGACCAGGAAGAAAGTAGATCATAGCTAGATGACATCTTAATTAAAATGATGAAATAAAAAGGAATCTAGATGAACTGCCAATAGTTACAGAAAATGTTTTTTTCCTTTTCATCCTGAGATTTGCGTATGCTTTATGATAGATCTCTCTTTTCACAAGTGTTTACATGTGTACTTTGCATTTCTTGGAAAAAGATAATAACTACACAATACCATAAGAAACAAAGCTATAAGAAATTTATGCCTAAAACATACAACTAATTAGCATTAAGCTGGTCATATAAGCAATGATGCTGACCAGAGGAAGGTCAAATAATTGCATGCTGTCATGTCAATTTTGACTTATGACAACCTCTTCACTGCTTTCAAGATAGAGAACACTCAGACGGACTGGCTCTGCTGGGATGCACGGTGGGGAACTGAACTCACAGTCTCTGACTCTGCAGCCAGGTTACCTCAACCACTGAGCTATCCAGCCAGCCAAAAGAAAGTTACAGAACAGAATTTGAATTAATCTGCATTTTGAAGTGAGTTTGATTCAATATTTAATCTTGTGATTCAGTATCCCAATCTTATAATGTAGCTATATTAATGGCACTAGGATCCTTTCGAGGAGAAAAGTGGGGTAAAAATATTTGAAATCCATCCATCCATACATACAGTGGTGCCCCGCTTGACGACGATAATGCATTCTGTTAAAATCGCTGTTAAGCGAAATTGTCATCAAGCAAAAGTAAAAACCCCACTGGAATGCACTGAAAACCGGTTAATGCGTTCCAATGTGGGAAATACCTCATCGTCCAGCGAAGATACTCCACAGGGGAAGCCAATTTCGATCGCTGTCTTCCAGAGATAGGTACGGAAAACAGGGGGGAGCCATTTTGAGAACAGCCGATCAGCTGTTTGGAATCGTCATCAAGTGAAAAAACAGTTCCCGAAGCAGGGAACTATTCATCGTGAAGCGAAAAAACCCCATTGGAATCACAAAAAGTCATTGTTAAGCGATTTTGTTGTCAAGCAGGATCATCGTAAAGCGGGGCACCACTGTACCTACGTACATACATATGCACATACGTATGCACAAACATGGTCCCACAAACAAGAATTCCTCAGAAACTATCACAAATTTGCTTATAAGATCATTTCAATCTGGTCTCACTACTGCCTCCTGACCCAACCCTGTCCTCTCTGGCACACTGCAATGCCTTGAGGAGGAAACAGGCTTTCCTGTTGCTTCGGCAGAAATCGGAAGGAGCCAAGGAGCAACAGGAGCGTTTTTTTATTCCAAATGGCTGCACTAAATAAGAGGAAACTATGTAAGTGAGTTTGTTTTCTGACAAGCTTAATCGTTTGAAGTATATGGTGCAATTTTTTAAAATTAATCTGAAATGGTAGATAAGAGTTTTTGCTGTTTTTAATCTTCTCTAAAACCTATGTGTAAGTGACAGTTTGCTTTTCTTTTCCTTTCTCTGTCCTTACTGGAAGGCTTGGGAGAGAGAGACAGTCTCTGTTCATTTGCACAACAGGGAGGGAGCAAGGAATGTCAAACTCTTACTTAGCTTTTCCTCCAAACTGCAGCAAACCTGTGGTTCCTCCATTTCAAGGAGCAAACTGCATCCAATGAGTAGAACTGTATAATTAGTTGATAGTATACTAACAAATTACAATCCCAACTAAGCCTATTAATGGGAATAGCCTATACAAAATAAGCAAAAATAACAATACTGCGTTTTCTAAAATGTTTTTCCCATGCTTTCACTGAAGGCCTAATGACAAGTAGTCACGATGATTGTATGTGACCTCCAGGTTCAGAAGGAGCATTCCATTGAATATCAACTCTAGAAAGTATCAATAGAAACCACTTGTGTTCTTTCCAGAGGCATCTGTCATGCCACTCTGAGCACACCTGATTTCAGAAGCTAATCAGGAACAAGCCTGCTTAATACCTGTACACCAACAATGCCAGGGATATGTGGGGTAAGCTTGAGATAGCTGTGGCTAGTCCGAGTTGACAATGCTGGGCCAGATGGACACATGGTCACAGTCTCTATAAGGCAGGATTCCATGTTTGTATCTAACAGTAGATGGGCCACTGCTCTTATTTCCAGTATATGGGTCACTGCTCTTATTTCCAGTACATGGGTCACTGCTCTTATTTCCACAAAACTTGCAAAGTGCCTTCAGCTTAGTTCCAATTTCAGTATGATAAAGCATTTTCAGGATTCCTAGATTTACAACCCTTAAATCACAAGCAGACTCTTGCAGAAAATACAAACCTCTTTAAAACATGGTGAAGGATTTCTGATTTGTTCAAGCATAGCCCACTTGACTGTTGCTTGCCGTATATTTCCATCATATTCTCTGGAACTCTGAGTACCACTTGGAGTCCCTCTAGATCTTTCATATCCAGGCTCATTGAAATAGGGCTCTGCAACTAGTATGAGGGATTGGACAGACACCAGTACCTGCAGAGAGAGAGCCAATTCAAAGAGCTTGCAACAGGTGAAATGAAACAAACAAACATGATGGCATAGCAAAACAAAAGGCAATCTAACTTTTCCATTCTCTACTGTTCCACTCTCTCAGAAACAACCCAGTGCCATGAACATTGTCCAAATACAATGGACTGTCAGCTGTGAGAAATAGCTTGTGTAATACCTTCTTTCTTACAGAGTATGTTCGAATTATAACTAATATTTCTTTTAAAAAACTGTTCTGCATTAGCAAATACATCAAAATTATTTAAGGAATTAGCCTTCTCCGTTAATTAAAACCATGACAAAACAAAACGACAGATGCTGATTTAAAATAGCTCCAAAAACTTTCTAGAGCTTTCAGTGAGTCATAATCAATGTAACACTCATAGGGGAAAAAGTGAAAAAGGTGGCAGTATTCTACTTATAGCTGCACTGGACAAACAGGAGCACAAGCAAAAACCTAGCAGTGTTCAAACAGAACTGTGAAAACACTTGTACAACTGCTTGTGTAATTGGAATCGGAGCATTGGACTTGGCATCTGCACAAGAATTAAAATGAAGTTTCAGCAAGTGGAAGGACTGTTCCTTAAACAGAATTAACACCACTAAATACAATCAATATAATTTCCCATATTGTTTCCACTGCTCAAAAGGTAAACTGCTGTTTTGTTTAAAAACTGGTTTGCTTTGTCAGCAGAGACAAAACTTCAAAAGAATTTCAGTCCTGCTAAATTTTCAATTTCCCCAGAGCATGGACATTAATTACAAATAGCAAACCACTTTTAATTAATTCCTTTTGTAAATAATTAAGTTGCAACTGAAAGTAAAGGTGAAATAGCTCCACTCTGTAGTATAACTGTGACTTAGACATAAGAAGTGAACTTGTCCACAAAAGCTAACATTAAAATATAGCAGTTAGTGTTTAAAGTGCCACAATGTTTATGTCTTCTTCTTCTTCTTTTTTTTTGCTTGTAACTTTTTGGTTACTTTATTGTTATAGGAGATGGCCTCACTGAATGGAGGAAGAATAACATAGGATTCAGGTATCGACTAATGCATTGCCTCATACTGCTGAATCCAGATTTTTAAAAAATTTACTGAAAAGCAGTTATTTTGTGATTTTTTTAAAAAAAGAAAAATATTGATGTTAAAAAACTGCACTTGTAACAGTGACTAACTAGCAAGTGCACTTCTCAGCTGAGGACACTGAAGCTTGGATATAAATTACCTCCCAAATATGTTTTCCTTAAACCAACAGATGCAAATATATTCTAGACATCTATCTTAAAAATCACTGATAAACTGAAAAACAAAAGAATATCTGAATCATCTGAAGTAGGCTACAATTCATGAAAGGTGATACTAAATAACACACCAAGAAACTGTCTAACCCCAAAAATGGAAATGTTTTACCAGAGGAAAGACATTTGTTATACATTTGGATCTAGACCGAGTTTCTTCAGAAACAGACATTAATAGTGCAAGCATTGCCCCAGGTATGCCAGTGTAGCCCAGTTCCATGCCCAAAGGACATTAAGGGAAAGGGAACTAGAGGACCACAGTTACCTGTCATCTCTATAGCAGTATTTGCTACATCAAATAACTTCACAGTCAACCATTATATGGAGGTTTCACAACATATAAGGCAGATTAAAATGTCTGCTGCCCCTCTGCCATATTAACATATGTTTATTTTCAACAAGTAATTGTGCTATGACAATTGAATGAGGTTCTTTTCAATTTCAAACATTGTGGCACCTTAAAGACTGTTGTCTTTTAATGTGAGCTTTCATGGACAAGTCCACTTCATCAGATATAAGAGAGGGACTACACAGCAAATATTTATAAGAGTGTAGTTCCACTATTATGTCTGAAGGGTGAACCTGTCCAGAAAGGCACATTATTTAAAATACAGCAGTTAGTCTTTAAACCACAACATTTTTGTCTTCTTTATTTTTTAATTTGTTTTTGCCTAATAATCTTTGAAACTGTATCAGAAATTGAGGTGGTAGAAAAAGAGAACTTAGAAGTTTTAGTCATGATATAGAAATTCTTCATATGATCTTTACTAGGAAATAATATGGTCTAGTACTATAAACCAGATAGACTATTTTCAAAAGCAACATTTGTTTTCTTTGTGTGCACTCCCGCTGACTTACTTATTGTAGCGGGCCAAAACAAACAAACACCCAGACCTCTATACTGTGTTAGAAAAAGTCACATACTTGTAAAAAGCTTGATGTCTGAGGATTCCACTTCTCTTCTGGTCTTCCATGCCAGGTATTAAGTATACTTAAACAAACCTGAAGAAAACCAGTAGAACATTTCAGTATATGCACATGCTTGCACAAGTTAAGAGATATGTATCCAGGAATAAAAGCAACAGTTGTCTGCAATGATACTGAGTTAAATTATTTACCTTGCCATCATTGTAAAGGTTTGGATTAAATCTCACACTGTGTCCTCCAGTTGTTTCCAAATTCACAAGTGGGGGTGAATTAGGATAGTCTTGAGGAAAATAAACATCAAATTCAAAGCAGCCATTTGCATAAGGTGTGTCTGCAGGGCCAGTTATCAAAACCTTTTGAAAAAAATGAAGTGAAGTTACAACAAGAACTTTGGGAAACTAGTTGTCTATATAAAACACACTGCAAATGGTGACAAGTAAGTCTTGTATTTTCAGAACAGTATTTGGATAAAGTAATCCTGGCTACCATCGCCTCGTGCATACTTGCATTTCTATCTCCCTGATGTAGACCATCAAGTTTCAATGCTACCTGCCAGGTCTTTTTTTCGTCTACATAAACAGGTACAACCTTTCTTATCATTAGCCACATGGCTTGCCCCCACCATCCTGACTGGATTCTGTTTTTGCTACCTGCCTCTTCTATCTCCTCCTTTTTTTAACTTTTTACATATTTCCCATCTTTACCTTCCCTTCCAAGACTCTAAAAAAGTATCTATAAACATAAAAGCAGGTTAGTGTACATCAATGTACCCTCTAATTTTCAGTCCCACTGGGAAGGGCTTTGCCTCCTGCGCGTGTGGCTTCACCCCCTCCTGCGCGTGTGGCTTCACCACCTCCACCATGGGCTGGGTTCCATCGCAACTGGAACTGCATGCGTACATGAGCGACACCACCTCCCCCATGGGCTGGGTTCCATCGCAACTGGAACCTAATATGATCACTGCGTGGAGACGGAAGACAGCTGCATGGAGGGAAGTAGAGTTGTGTACGCAGCCAGCTTAGCAGGAACCTTGGTGTACATGCTCCAACTGTAGCATCAGCACTAGGCACAAAATGTAACCTCAGACTTCCATTTTGAAAGTAAAATACAGTGGTGCCTCGCTTAACAACAACAATCCATTCCAGGAAAATTGCCGTTAAGCGAAAACATCGTAAAACAAAATTAAAAACCCCATTGAAATGCACTGAAACCCATTCAATGCGTCCCAATGGGCTAAAAGCTCATCGTCCAGTGAAGATCCTCCATGCGGCAGCCATTTTTGCTGCCTGTATAGCGAGGAATCCATCCCTAAGCACAGCGGGGAGCCATTTTAAGCCCCCAGTGGCCATTTTGAAAACCCGACGATCAGCTGTTTTTGATTGTTGTAAAGTGAAAATCGGTTCCCGAAGCAGGGAACCGATCATCGCTGAGCGAAATTCTCCCATTCAGACCATCATTTTGCGATCGCAAAAAGATCGTCATAAAGTGGATTCATCGTAATGTGGGGCAATCGTTAAGCGATGCACCACTGTAAAATAAAAATTACATTTTTTAAAAAAGGACTGAAGAAATGATGGCTGTTGCTGTGAGTCTTGCTACTGGACTAATTTGGGAGAAAGCATGTCCTTTTACATTCCCATTTTTCCTCAGACAGTCTTTCTGGAAATACTGGTTGCTAAGCAAGTTTTTCTTATAGGTGTAACAGTGTTTCCTGAAAATATAACTAATGTCTATGGGAGACCCAACTGTAATAGTCGAATGGACAGAGATCGCTCCCTGGCTCTCTCCAAGTTGGAAGCAGAGTATCCATCCTGACTAATTAGCAGGATTCATACAAATTATAGACCTCATCATTTCTTGAAACAGGAAGTTTACCTTCATGATGTCTAATCTTTCCTCATCACAGCGGACAAAGACACTGGATGAAGAAGAAAGTGGCAGCGATGTAGAAAGTGTTACAGCTTCTTGAGCAAGACGCCGGGCTCGGGCAGCACTATTTGCATCACTGGCATTTTTCACCTGAGACATGTAGTGGTAATTTACTTTAAACACCAGTTTTCCATCATCATCTTCAGAAACCATTTCAAAAGTATCTGAAAGTAAAAAGGGTAAGACATTGTGTAGAGGACAATAGTTAAACTGGATAAAGTAATTAAATTTACAAGAAAGCACAACTGGTACATAAACATTTCACCCTCCTCTTCACAAGTAAATTCAAAACACTAATGCAAAAAAGCAGAACCAAGCTCCTTCCTCTTAGTTTATATATATAAGCTATTACAGTACCCTTGATGTGGTGGCATTTGCTAATGTATGCACCATTTACGACTACAAGAATAACACTGTTACATAATTCTAGTTTTGTGTTGATAACTGATTAAAAGTAAGTGAAGAAATTATTTCATCATGCTTCAAGGTTAAAATCTTCCATCGTCTCTCCTTAACAATGTTTCCTTTCTCTGCTAGGAGCAGAACAAAAATTATCTTCTTGGCATTTATTTGCGTTGACAGATTAAAAACATCATTATTTTTCCCTTGTCCAAATATACATGAAGTTAACATGCAAGCATTACTTTCTTTAATAAAAAAATGAAAATATATTTGTGGAACACATACTGTTTTATTTAAATTCCTTTCATTATCCTTGGCCAACCAGAGTTTGTATAAGCGACTTAACCATACAACACAACTATGAGAGATATGGCTACAAGTAAGCACTGGCATGATTTTAACACACTCCCTTGTTCAGATTTCTGCTCATATTTTCAGGAGACAGCTCATTTTGTTAGAAGGAGAAATGAAAACCCCCACAAAGAATATGAAGGAAAAAAGGCTAACACATCAATCATGCTTTGGGGGTTTTGTACATGGATTTAACTTACCAAACTGGAGTTTTTTCATTACAACCACATACTTTTCTTCAAGGGATCTTAAAACAGACAAGGGCTTGGGTTTCACTGCAGATTTTTTAGAATACTCAGCCAATTTTCTTTCTGTTATAATAGTAGTAAAAAAAATAAGTTACAATAACCATATAAAATACAGTATTTTCAAATACTAATCATAGGCACTTCCCTTCTAAGGTAGCAACAAAAACTAAGGAGTTAAATATGTACAATTGTAATTCCAATTCAAGGCAGAATTCTATAAAATCAAGGACATATGCTATCCCATATGTGGGGTAACTAAAATCTATGGGCAAAAATCAAGCTCTTGGCAAGAAGAAGCTACATTTAATTCAGCCTATTGTTGTTCCCACTCCCACCATATAATCATTGAAATGAGCAGCCAAGGATTCTGGAAAACTGACATTCGCTTTGATGTCTGTAAGCATGCTATGATGTTCTCTGTTCTAACTCATCATATTCACTATCAGCAATGCCTAATGTATTTGGATAAGTTGATTGGCTATACTGTTAAAGACTGGTGTTTACTGCATATTATCAAAGTCTTTCTAAAGGGAATTGCAAAGGAACAGTGAAAGGCCCATAGACAAATGTTTTAATTTTGTCTCAGTAGTCCCATTCTCTTTAGTTTATACTCTGCAGAAGTCCCAAATAAGGCATTCCAGATAGATGGAAGGAGGAAGATGCATGTGCATATTTAAGAAGGGGAACACTCAGTTCCATGCATGTATGTGCTTGTTAGGATGTGGGCCATTTATCTCACAAAGTTTCTACACATTCTTTTACACAGAACTATCAATTAAAAAAAACCCAATTACATCTGATCAATACCACAGCTTTTTATATTTAAATACGCTACTGCATCTATTTTCCTGTCAGCAGGAAATTGTGTGATAACGTGCTAACAATGATGTTTATCTCAGATAGAAGCATAACTATTAATAAAACTGAAACAATGGAAGACATCCATTAGTCTAAGTTTCCCTTTAAAAGTTCTCCTGTTCAATGATGCTTGTATCCTATATGCTGGCTAATTTTGGCCAGAACCTTATCAGAGATTTACACCAGTGTAAGTGTAATTGCCTAAGTCAGTGGTCCCCAACCTTGGGCCTCCAGATATTCGAGGACTTCAACTCCCAGAAATCCTGGCCAGCAAGAGGTGGTGGTGAAGGCTTCTGGGACCTGTAGTCCAAGAACATCTGGAGGCCCAAGATTGAGGATCACTGGCCTAAGTGGTAGCAAATCGCTGCTAATTATAATGAGCTGGTGTTTGCATTCCTGTTCATATGCCAAATTGCAAGAATGCAAGCAGCAACTCATTAGTGGCAATTTGCTGCTGCAGTTTATGCAGCTAAACCGCAAACAAGATTTTGCTCTAGGCGATACGCAGAAAAATGGTACTGCCGAAATTGTTTACCTTGATTTGCTTGGCGCAAACTTGTTGTGGCAGTATATACTATCTCTGCCGTCCTTTGGATATCTGGCACCAGAAGTGTTAGGCCCTCAGGTTCCTGATCTGATGTATCTGACTTTGCTCCAGTTTTAGACTTGTCCTTCTTTGATCTGGAAAGCAAAGAAGTGACTACAGTTTTAAGAAATGCTTTGATTAAATGTAGAAGTAAAATAACACTAGAAACATGCAGTCATAACATTCTAAAATACTGCTCCCTTCCTTCCTCCCTAAATTACTATGCCATGTAGTAAAAATAAACCTGCTCTCAAATGTATAGACTTGTGAGACCAGCAATATATGTCTCTTAACATGAAGAGATAAGTTATAGGAAGAAAAAAGTCATTGGTCAAAATCCTTTTGTAGGGTTCTGCCTGAGCAATAGGAATGATGCCATCATCATCAGATGACAACATCATCCCCCTTTCTAAAATTTCAGGTTGCATGCATCTTTGTGCATGAAGAACTAAAATATAAAAAGGAAGCTGTTAAGGACTGGCAATCTGTGGTTGATGATGAAACCATTCTTCTTGCCCACGTAATGTAAACATTTATGAAACAAGACTACTGAACATTTAATGAAGAGAATAAATAAATACCTCAGACGATTAGTGTAGGTGTCCACACATGTTTTCATTTTAGCCAAAAGAGTTCCAACTGAAGCTTGGGACTCCAACTGCTCTTCTTCTTCTTCTCCATTATCCCCAGATAGAGGCAGCAACAATGGCACCATGGATGGGCAGGAAGCAATAGCACGAAGAAGCTCTAACAAAGCTCTGTAGAGGGGCACATGTCTGGCCATGTCCAAAACTGGGAAAGAAGACAGACATACAATAAAGTAAGACTGATTTAAGACATATGCAGGAGGCCTAATTTTTCCCTACAGAACCTTGTTCAGTGGGAATGTATACAACAACAACATTGTATTGCCCCAACAAAATTGTACTTTACACTGTAAATTGGGGGAAAGAACCTATATTAATAATCGAACTAAACATATTTGATCTGACTCTTTTATTCTCAGTAGGTGATATTAATCACCTCCAACTACCGTACAATTGCACTCATTTCCCACGCTAGCAAGGTTATGCTCAAAATCCTACAAGGTAGGCTTCAGCAGTATGTGGATCGAGAACTCCCAGAAGTACAAGCTGGATTTCGAAGGGGTAGAGGAACTAGGGACCAAATTGCTAATATGCGCTGGATTATGGAGAAAGCCAGAGAGTTCCAGAAAAATATCTACTTCTGCTTTATTGACTGTGCATAAGCTTTTGACTGTGTGGACCATAGCAAACTATGCCAAGTCCTTAAAGAAATGGGACTGCCTGATCACCTTATCTACCTCCTGAGAAACCTATATGTGGGACAGGAAGCAAAAGTTAGAACTGGATATGGAAACAATGATTGGTTCAAAATTGGGAAAGGAATACGACAAGGTTGTATATTGTCCCCCTGCTTATTTAACTTATATGCAGAATACATCATGAGAAAGGCCAGACTGGAGGAATCCCAAACTGGAATTAAGATTGTCGGAAGAAATATCAACAACCTCCGATATGCAGATACCGCTCTGATGGCAGAAAGTGAGGAGGAATTAAGAAACCTTGTAATGAGGGTGAAAGAGGAGAATGCAAAAAACAGTCTGAAGCTCAAATATATATAAAAAACTAAGATCATGGCCACTGGTCCCATCACCTCCTGGCAAACAGAAGGGGAAGATATGGAGGCAGTGACAGATTTCACTTTCTTGGGCCCCATGATCACTGCATATGGTGACAGCAACCCCAAAATTAAGAGACGCCTGCATCTTGGGAGGAAAGCGATGACAAACCACGATAGCATCTCAAAAAGCAGTGACATCACCTTGCCAACAAAAGTCCAAATAGTCAAAGCTATGGTTTTTCCTGTAGTGATGTACGGAAATGAGAGCTGGACCATAAAGAAAGGGGCCTGCCGAAGAACTGATGCTTTTGAATTGTCGTGTTGGAGGAGGCTCTTGAGAGTCCCCTGGACTGCAAGGAGAACAAACCTATCCATTCAAAAGGAAATCATCCCTGAGTGCTCACTGGAAGGACAGATCCTGAAGTTGAGGCTCCAATACTTTGGCCATCTCATGAGAAGAGAAGACTCCCTGGAAAAGACCCTGATGTTGGGAAAGTGTGAAGGCAGGAGGAGAAGGGGTCGACAGAGGATGAGATGGTTGGACAGTGTCATCGAAGCTACCAGAATGAATTTAACCCAACTCCGGGAGGCAGTGGAAGACAAGAGGGCCTGGTGTGCTCTGGTCCATGGGGTCATGAAGAGTTGGACACGACTAAACGACTAAACGACAACAATGATGCTGAATGCACTCCTCTTATCAGAAGCAAATATGTAGAGTCTAAATAAACATTTAAAAAATTCATATGAACACAAGAGGGGAACTTATGAAAATAAGGAAGGAAATCACATGTGTTTTTTACATATAGTATATTTAGTCATTTTAAATGATTCTGAAAAGAAATAATGGTTGAAATCCTGTTGGGGTAGCTATGCTTGTGAAAGCAGAGCAAGAGCCCAGTATGCTGCTTGTACACCACCCCATAGAGCTTAAAGCCATCTCTGGGTGGTTTGCAATTTCATTGTGCAGGCTACACGTTGCCCCCCCCTCCCCCAGCAAGCTAGGTATTCAATTTACCAAACTTGGAAGGATGGAAGGGGTTGAATCAAGCTCGAGTCAGGTATCTAAGCCCAGGATCGAATTCAGGTCATGAGCAGAGTCTACACTGCAGAACTACAATCTAAGTACTGTGTCATTTGAAAGGGTGAAGAATTTTAGTAAAGATCTCCTCTTCCCATCCTGCAGATATCATGACTTCCATGCAACAAAAGGAATTATTTGTATGTAAGAAAAGCCATCAGAGAGAAGGGGGAAATATGTTATTACCAAAAGCATCCACCTATTAGTCAAGTCATCATTCATTCACAGGCGTAGTTAGGCCAACAGGATTTCAGTCTATATAGCTTAGATGCGTAAGCTTTATACTAATACCATGCCGTTGTTATGTTTTGGGGTTTCCTCAAGTATTTCTCAGTGTAAATGGGTGGTGCAAACACTCAAACTCGTATTCAGGGACAAAAATGATGTGCACAGCTGCATAAAACAGATACAAATGAATCTGTTACATACATGGCCCCATAGCAACTAATGGCAAACTGAAGCCATTTGGTAGAACTGGGGAGAGAGGTTAGGGGGTGGGGCCCTCCAGATCTTGACAGGAACACTGCCAAGCAATCTGAGAGGTTGCTTCTCTACAAGATGGTTTCTTGTTCTGCTTTTACGGATTTGGCTGAAACACTTCTAAGCTAATTTTCAAGCAACTGCTTCTCAGAGCAGCTAACAGATAAAATACCTACTAAAACTGAAGCATAATAATTTTAAATAAAGTAACAGAAATAATGCCTATTCCAAAGGACTTTGTGTAATTTAAAGGAAAAAAATGTAGGAAGCCTCAGACTTATGGGGCTTTCTTTTGTAGAGCATGAAAGATCAGTTCAGAGGCTTTTGCTTCCATTTTAGAGTAATTGCAGGTTGGTGTCTTACGTAAATGCTGAGATTAATATTAATAAAATATTGTTAAAACAAGAGAACTTCAAACAATAGTTTATGATCTGAAATATACTGTTCAAATAACACACCAATTATATGGTAGTTTTAGAAACATTGGCTGGCATCTTGTTGAACAATGACTTCATTAGCAGACTCTTGCTAATTAAAGAGGAACTTTATCAATTTCAGGATGCACACAATTTCATACCATTGTGTGCAAGTTGTATGTTCCCAAAATTTTAAAAAAGAACTCTTTAATGAACAATAATCTGCAGCTTCTAGTGATATAACCCGTTGTGCAGCTGAAGCTATGCAATAAGATACCATTACTGAGAGTTTTCCATGTTATATCCCCACAAAAACTAATGGGGCAATCAGATGAGAATATAGCTTGCTATTTGATTTGCTTCTGATATGGTTTGATTTGTCCTATTTTCTGCTGACCACATGTGTTTTAATTACGATCAATCCACCCTGCCTCTTTTGTCAGCTGTTCCGCTTCTTTCTGGCACAACACTAGGACTGAAGTTTATTTGGTGCAATTGGAAGAGCTACTGATTACCCTGTTCTGCAGTCTTAATTTGCTCTCAAATAGAGCTGTGGGTGGTGTTCTCTTCGGGGTCAACCCTGCGACGTATGCAGTGACTTGTGACAGTAGAAAGTAAGATAGGGAAGCCTTCTTTATTTTTCTCTTCTTTACATTTTTTTTAAAAAACAGTATCCTAAGTGACACAGTGCTATTTCAGGTATAAGAGAGTGCGACGTATGCAGTGGGTTGTGACAGTAGAAAGAAAGATAGGGAAGCCTTCTTCTCTATTTTTCTCTTCTCACATTTTTTAAAAAAAGAATAGTATCCTAAGTGACACAGTGCTATTTCAGGTATAAGAGAGCATCCACGCTAGGTTGATGTATTGCTGTAGTTATATGCCAATTACTAAATTAAGCAAAAACAAAAAAGGGACAACTATCCATGGAATGACATCCATTGGAAAAGGTGGGAAAAAGAAGGAGAGCATCAATAATTGAAAGAGGGAAAAATTGGAACAATCTGAAGTGCTGTCTGGATCCTTCACACAGGACAAGAAATGTCTTCCATGTGAATGGAAGGCTCACTCAAATATGAGATAAAATTGATTGTAGCGAAGATAAGAGACATTTAAACATGACTTGGATTGCTCAAAATTCCCCTCTCTAGTTGCTCCTTAAGACATTTTTTCTTTCTTTCTGCAAACCTTATTATGGCTATTATACAATTATGTTGTAATCTGACTTCTCAATTCTTCTGAAAGCTTTATTTGTGTCTTTTATCCAGGTACGCATAGTATGAAGGCAAATGGGCCAAAATTGTATGTTTCTACACCCTGCTCCTTGTGGGATTAATTTTTGCTAGAATAAGTCTGATTCTGTAACATGTTTTCTGAGTAGGAGGACTATGATAAACTTTTCATTGTTTTTCTTTTCTTTTCAGTTCTATTCCAAGTAAAGACTACAGCATATTCCCATTAGCCACTTACTTCCTCTATAGTGCATTACTACTGGAGAGGAAAAGATGAACTGGAATACAGGCACTGATAGTGTACACAGCAAATCTGCAAGGTAATCCTATTCATTAGTTACATAATCTCTGCTTCGGCAGTCCAACTGATCAGTATTTTGGAAAAGGAAGTCTCACTGTGTTTAATGGGCTTAACCTCAAGTCAGCAAAGGATTTTAATTTTTAAAGGATTTTAAAGGGTGGTGCACATGCCTCATGTTTATTTGGGGTAGAGGTTAAGGTACCATTAGCATGTATCCCATATTTTGTGCAGGAGAAGACATTCTAACCTTCCTTATTTTGTGGTGGGGGTATTATTTCAAGCATAACTTTTTGCTTTAAATCAAAGTTCTTTCTCTAATCCTCTCCTTTCGGAACCTTAATCAAAAATTGAAGGAGGATCTTCTGTAATTTATTCATGGCTACATTGGAGAAGAAGAGGGTTGTGTGGGAGCCCAGATTTTGATATAGTTTGTTACTATAATACTAAACATCAGATCAGCATTAGATCAAAATGTTTTTCTGTGTTATAATGATCCAGTGGTGTACCTCAATATCTAACAGTAATGGAACTGAGTCCATGACCCCCTCCAGTTTTCATGGTGCCAAAAAGTTGTTTAGAACATTTGCCAGCTTCCCAAAGCAAGTTTTAAGAACACACAATAAGGATGACAGATACTACTTCGT